GAGGGTCCTTCAGCAAGACTTAATAATTGTAGGTTAATCTCACTCTCATAACCACTACATAAACTTAATTTTCGTGAAAGGAACACAAACCAGAGAGACAGAAGTAAGGATCGACAATTTAAGACATGGCATCTTTTTAGTACTTGTGTAACTCTAACTGCAAAGAGAGAACTGTCTGTATAAAATGTCAGAATGTAACAAAGTGAATGCAACCTGCACAGAAAAAGACATAGCAGCAGAAAATATTGAAAAGGCAGTTGCAATAACAATTAAGTTTAATGAGAACTGCTAACAACACTGTCAGTAACTGAAAAGTTCTCAATGGCAGACTAGCAAGTGGAAGCACCTGTGTAAAACAGCTGTAGAATAAATCCAAACAGGAAATGCAGGTGTTTGATCCTATTTGATTTTGGGGACATATGCTGGGAAATTATAATGTGGATGGACGGCAAAACACCATCAAAATTTTATTATCCTAAAAATTTGCCTTGGCATTTTTACTGGGAAAGAAATTTTAGGAAAAATTATAGCCAACACTAACTTCTTACAATGGATGTTTTGTTTGGGTACTGTCAGAAAGACAAAAAAAGAGTATTTCATACCTGTGCCCTTTTGACACACTGTTTGGAAAGCTTTGCTTTACCTGGCCTTGAAATATTGCACAGAAAGATACAGTACATTTTCATGAACGCTGAGGGTACACCAGCGGTGTTCCCATTCAGGGATGACAAAAGTAGACCATTCTCAGAGATCTTGGAAAGGCTGGGTGATGCTGATTTAAACGTTGGTTGACAGAAATGGAAGTTGAATGCTACAAGCTGAACAGGAGATACTAGATCTAGGAGAAATATTCATTTATTATTGGTTACTAATTTATCTGCAGAAAAAGAAATTAAACAAAGTTACATCGATATGATCCTGGGTTTTGAAAATCTTGTGTCCAGTCTGGCTGCTGAAACAATCTTCAGAGCTGTATGGTAGAAAAATATAAGCAGGACACAAGAGGCTAGTTACAACAGTTTGAATATTTCAGGGATCAGAGAAAGCAGACAGCTGTGCCAAGAGTCTCTGGTAACACCAGGCAAAACTGCCAAATGATACTTCCAAGCAAGTCCCTAAGTCAAGACTTCTTCAGAAGTAGATCAATGACTAAAGATCTGTAGCTTGTGCTCAGCACCTCAACTAAAAGTGAATGGCAATACAACCAAATCAAAAAAGGGCCAAGCACCAGTATGAAAAGCATCCTGTTTCTGCCTATGAGATACACATTGGCGCACAGACAGATGCAAACCATGACTTGCAGTGAGAGGTCAGCAAGCACTTCTACTTTCAGTTGCAGTTGTAGGAGTGACAACCGGAATACAAGACTTCAGCAGTATCCAGCATTCTGTCTGCAGTTTTTGCCACAACTGAAATTAAGCTCAGATCCTGGCATTTTAGCAGCAATTGTGGTGAGGAAAACTTTACTTTTCTTGAAAGGCATGGGTCACTGTCCTACGTAGTGAGCCCATGTGTATAGAGTGGAGAGGTTTCAGAGTTTCTAATGCAAGGCCTCCATTTTGAACTGGCCTTTGGCCGGTTATCTCTGAACTTGACTGGAGAGAAACTGGTCATTGACAAGTTGTCCTCCTTTACTCCATATCCTGTGTCTAGCAGTTTTGTAGGAAATAAAATTGGTGTTGTGAAAAGAATGATTTAGAAGCTGAAAAAATCAAACTTAAGTCCTTATTTGGCTGCACTGATTTATGTGACCACACTCTTCAACTTTTAGCTATCATGTGCAGAAATATCATTGGTAACACAGGACTACCAACAGAGTCAAAGTTTCCTGACTCTAGCAATACCCCCAAAATTAAAAATATCGGCAGTATACTTATAAACATTGTGAGGTTCTTAAATAGAAAATGTTGTAAGACACTGAGTCAAATACTCATGAAGTGGGAAGTGTACTAATGCTGTGTAATGAACACTTCAAGGTCAGGCATGCTTTCTCCTTATATATGGACAGTTAGGTACCTTTGGCACCTATTTGGCACCTAAACCATCTTCTCATTTCTTTGCTCTGGTGGTTAACTTCTATTTCAGTGCAAAGCTGGTGTGGCACTGCAGGAAGGAATTTTTCTAAATAACCTTGTTACTTTGGTGACAGCTATTATCCCTGCTTATAAATCTTGTATTCCATATGAAAACATTTTGCAAGGTCTTGTCCTTAGCAACAGGTGTGTGCATGTGAAGAGTGCTTCAGAAAGATTTATCTACATAAACTTTATTTTCAAAGACAGGCAGTTGAACTGTAGAAAGACAGAAATAAGAAACACGAATTTAATGAAGTTACAGACTCTTGAATAATTCTAACTGAAAAGAATAAACTTGCAAGAACCACCTGAAATATGAACACTGAAGCATAATTCAGAGTCCGTTCTGTCTCTTCAAGGGCTTAAAAATAAAGATAAGGATTGCTACTTTAAGTAGAAAATTAATTAGAAAAAAGTTGGATTTCTTCTTTAAGAAAGAAGACTTTCTACTTAAAGTTTCCCAAAATAGATTTGGGAAGGTATTTTTATCAGAGATTATTACAATAAAATGACAAGAAATTACAGAAATAATAAAGCAAAGCAGGACTATTTATCTGGAAGTTGTCAAATACTAGCCCCTTGCCATTCTTTCCAGATGGATTCCCGTTATTTGTGGCTCTTCCGGCAATTTCAGATGGATTTGAACTACACTTGAAACAAATTTATAGAAATGTTGCTAACTAGAAGAAAGAGTGAAAACAGGGCTAGGCCTAACTTTCTAAAAGTCATGATTGTTTATGCTGTGTTGGTTTTGCACAGTGCTGGAAACTTTACATTTGAGGGATGTTTCTAGAAATGCATAAAGGGGAAGAAATGGCTGGGTTTTGTGCTCCATAACTTGTGTGCTATTTGCTAGAATTAAAAGAGTGGAGTTTTTGTGGGAAAATTACAGTTGGGAACTCAGGTTTGCACAGATGATTTGGGGCTGTGAGGCCCATTTGTGCAGACTCTTGCCTGGAGGAAGGTTCCAATGAGGGCTGTCCAGGGTTGAAAACAATATGCTGTTGGAAGGACAGTGGGATATAGCTCATACTTTACATGTTACTTTTGTTTGCATTGTATGAAAGCAATATGCTGTTGGAAGGGCAGTGGGATATAGCTCATACTTTACATGTTACTTTTGTTTGCATCGTACATTAAAAATATGATGAGCTTGTTTTATGTGTGAGCAGGAGGCCCCACCTTCACGACAGTACTACTGCACACTACTTCAGGTGACTATCATTTGTTGTCAGCAAAAATAAAAATGACCTGATGGGCAGAGGAACCTGTGAGGTGGTAAATGGTATCTGGTTTTCTGTCTTTTGACTAAAATATGCTCTTGCCTTTAAATAAAGAACACAAAACCTGCAAGGCGTTTTCTGAAATACGCTGATAAATTATCTCATGAAAACAGGGTAGCTTGTCAACTTATTATACTATGCAAAAGAGAGAAGGAATAAGAAATAACAAACAACAAGCAATGGAACAAGTTATACTCACTAGATAGAATACTCTAGTACTCAATTAAGTTCATGTCACATCCAATCTTACCATTTATTTTGCTTGCAGGAAATGAGAACATACTAATGGGATGTATCTACATCTGTGCAAGCTAGCAATTGTGTAGCCCTTGGCTATTAGTAGACACATAGAGTATACACTGAATGTTCTTTTCTTGCACTGTAGTTCCATAAGACATCCAAAAAACATTACAAAAAAACATTCCAGGTTAAGTACAAAAAGTACAAATCCTAAGATTTCTATTTTATTTTTGGGCCATAGGTCAGCAAGCTTCTATTAACTGTTACAGTATGACACTTTCTAAAGTAAAATTAAGGACTGAACTACTTTGAGTTGTTTGTTGGATTACTGAGGAAAAGGATAAACAGTTCATATGAATACCATATCATGCCTTGTTGCATTTTCTCAGATGATATCAAAAAAAACCATCCTCCTTTCCCAGCTCCTCTGCAGCCTACCCAGGCCATCTCGGGGGCTGTCTGTTGGGAACAACTCTCAAACCAGAGTTTATTTCAGTACCTTATGAAGGAATCCAGGTAGAAAGGGTGGTGTGTATTTCATAAGAGACATCTCCCCGTTTATGGAAGAGGAAGTGTGAAATAACCTTGAATGGCCACGATACAATGTATCAAAACATCAGCTTCAAGAAACTAGCACAGTACAGGGTACGCAGGTCAGGTGGATGCTATAAAACTGTTGTCAGTAGTATGTCCCAGAACACTGAAATGGTTTGTCTGGATTTATGCACTGTATGCTTCCATACAAATTGTGGCTTTCAGAGGATTTTTGTTGGCTTAAACTGTCGTTGGATGCAGTTGAGGTCCCCCCAGTCTTTAAAGGGACATAAGATTTGGACTCTCCTGTATAATGTTATATAACAATTCTTACTTGAGCCTTAAAGCAAATCTCTAAGGACATGTAATGTACAGCTAGCATCAAACAATCTGGGGCAGTAGCCAAGTAGGAAAGAAACTCAGAAAAATACATTAATAACCACTTGGTTTGCAACCCAGGCTTTCAAGCAAATTAATTTACTTTTGGAGAGTGCTCCTGTCTCAGTGCTCTTGTCAGCCTTTTGAAATAGATGGTTGTTAGTTGAAATATGTTTCAGTTTCAGATTAAGGCTGTCTAGTCAGATGGCAAGCTGCTCCCAAGACAGAAGAGCTCTGTCTTCAATGTCTGCTGCTGTTCTCCTACTAAGGTAATCCTCAGAGCCTCCATATGGGTAAACTCCCACCAAAGGAGGGCTGTTCCTTTATCCATTGACAGTACCGTCTCTTAGGCAACTGTCTGTATGTCATATTTTAATTACATAATATTTAATGATTTATGTTAGATTGTTGACAATTTCTTCATTGTATCACCATATTTGAATTTTGGAGGCAAAGTCCTTCAGGAAGAATAAATTAGTAGTCTTATGTCTTTATTATATCAGGATTTTATTAGCTGCAGTAAAAACAAAAAAGTCTAGTTTTGTAAAATGACTGCCATTTAAACATCAACTTTCTGAAATTACAGTATCACACATAACAAGCTATAGTGTCAATTCAGTAAGTAATCCAGAGGCATCTATGTAAAGATTTCTGGTTACTGGTGTTCTTTAAACATCAAACTGCTGTGAGTACCAGACTCCTGTTTCCCTTGTGTATTATGGGATGCTCCTCCCACAGCTGTGGAAGCCTGTTTACTCCATCACTTTCGGTTAGTGAAGAACATATTCAGGCTGTGATAATGAACCCACTCAGTAAAAGTGATCCTGAGAGAAATTCTTCGGTCAGTTTTACAGATATTAAGTGTAAAGACTGAGATGATTTTTATATTTAATTAAACAGAAGCAAAATAGAAAGCATAACAAACAATCCACCCTCCAAATACTGAGCTGAAGTTTTGTAATTTAAGAGCAGCAAGAATAGTTTTTCATTGCTGCTGTTTGTTTTCATATAGTGCTTCTATTGGTGTTTTTCAACCTTTAAGGATCTTAGAAGCATGTTTACATTCCCTTTTCCTCTTGATGTTTCATTTACAACTGGTGTATTTGCAGAGAAAGTATCCCTTTACTAACCAGAAAGCAAAGTTTTAATCTGAGAAACTTCATCTGGGTTTTCTTGAATGCACAGGGTTTGCTCAGTGGTCCTCCCTAAGAGAAGGTCTGGCAGCACATTTGGTAAGCTTTAGACTTTCATACTGTCTGCATAGAATAATGTTCCTCCTCCTTTTCATGGTCTCTGAAGCGCTGCATCTTTGTTTGAATACATTCCCTTTTTCTTCTCCTGTGAGATAACTCACACTGCTCTAGCTCCTTTTCTTCTCTTTTCCTCAGCAAAACTGTTTCAAGTGGCACAGTTTGCTGTTAAACAAAAAGGATCCAACAGGTGACAAGTAATGTCTACGCTCACAGCCAACTATCCCTTAATTTATAATTTATTTTCTTTCCAAAGAGAATTATCTAGGTTGGACAGTGTAGGAGAAAAACAAAAAACTGCTTTAGATCAAGGCTGTTCTTCTTGTCTACAAGGAGGTTCTGGTGCTCTGTGCAATATACCCACATCTCCCAGTTGGTAGGCAAATATACTGCAGCAAATACTACCAAGATCTTAAAAAGGACCCATCATGCTTGATATCAATACAAACAAGAGCTCATTACCTTACTGAGTTGGAGTTTTTAAGATAAGATCCAAAATTATAGCCTTTGCTAAACCATAGATTAACTAAATATAACATCATTTAAAACAGGTCTGGGCTGGGATCCTGTGGTTTGAGTACTTTCACATCTGGGGTAAATCTGAATGTATAGATTAATTTAATTTCTCACCCCCACTTCAGTTGTGATGATTCTGTGCACTGTAGAAAGAGACACAGCTGTATCGAAGAGATATAGATTCTGATGTGCCACTATGTTTATTTAGGATGCATTAATTAAAGGTGTTATTTCACAGCATTTCAGCACAGTTTAATACAATTTCATTAAATGGTTCTCAGAATTAAACCTGAATAAACATACAGTTTAAACATACATATTAAAATAATGCCCTTCATTAGGGCATGGTGCAATTAGAGATGTAATTTACAGATGAAGAGCAGAGATCTTCCTCTCACTGTATGAAGAAGTGCTTTCCCATTTGAAATCTTACATAAAAACTACATTTAGGAAGATCTGCTATTCTTCTCAGAGGGTTTAATTAAAACCTGCAGAAAATAACAGAATGTAACAGAACAAATGTAGACTGCACAGAGCCAGAGTTTCCTGACTTTATCAATAGCCCAAATATAAAAAACTCCCCGAACTTTAAGTCTTTATAAACATTGTAAGGTTCTCAAATAGAAAACATTTTATGATGGGGCTCAAACATTCACAGATTTTGAGAAGTGTACTAATGCTGTGTAATGAACACTTGAAGGTGAGGCATGCTTTCTATTTATATGTGAAGAGTTAAGTACCTTTGCCATACTTTCTAATTTCTTTGTCTTGGTGGTTAACTTCCATTTCAGTGCAGAAGCTTTGCCAGAGTTCTCTTTAAGTTCAGTGGGACTTATTCTGTTGAGAAAGACTCTTACATCCTTAACAATACCAAATTTCCTTCTTAGTTCATTGTCTTTTTCCTGAAGTGCTTCTTTCCCATTTCTTTTTCGCAAGCCCTCTTCAGATAGGAATGCAGTCTTGCTGAGGAACTGAAACAAGAAAAAGTAGAAACTGACTATCTGAAAGTGAGTGTTGGATAGTCACTTTCCTCCCTCCCCAGTTTATCTTCACACATTGTTTCTACAGCCTTCCCTACTTCAGGGATATGGCTTTTCATGAAGAATTTAATTCAGGAGGGAGCTTGCAAGCCAGCCCTTCTCTCTTCTTTCACTGTTACTTTAAAAGGTGATTATGATGGCACTCAGCACCTGTTTCAGAAACCCCACCTTCTCCCTTGGGAAGTTTTTTGACATTATACTAAATTCAGCCCTGTTTTTCTCTAAATAACAAGAGGCTGCTCCCATTGAGCACAGTGCTTTTGTCCTGTTCAAATACTGAAAAAATCTTGATATATCTCAAGATGGATTTTTTTTCTCAGCATTGCTTAATTATACTTTTTTAACTGTAAAGTCTTGATGACCTGCAAGGTCTACTTTGATTTATCTACAGTGACTATGTCCACTGGAGTTGCTTGGCTTCTCCAAAAAATTGAAATCAAAACCATTTCACTTATCTTACACAGCACTCAACCTGTTATAAATATGCTGAATAATGCACTTTATATTCATCTATATCCAAGGGGAAAATTACTGTCCATACACAGACATTCAGCTGATCATCATATATTACTACCTGTTGCTTTTTCCCAGTAGAAGGTGAGCACTGCTTGGGCTGAGAGATGGTAGTCATCCTGTGTGAAGAGAAATGTGTTGCATTTGAAGTTTTATTTTGGTTTTGGGGGGTAGCAAAGGTTGTAAGACATCTTTCTTTCTGTTTTATATCATATTGTCCTGACAGCAGCGAATGTGGAACTTCAGTCGTTACGTCACGGATAACACTGCATGTAATGAGCCAAGCTGTGGTCTTCCTAAGCAACATATCACAGCCATGTACTTCCATTTCTGCTGGCAGAGCTTCATGCCCCATTGCATACAGAAGGTGGACTTTCCCATTACATATCACTAGAGCATTTCCCTTAAAGAGAGGAATTTCCAGTTGCTCTTCAGTAGGACATTCGAACAAAGGCGGTACAATATAAGTATTCTTATTCTTATTTTTGGTATTGGTCAGTGATTTTAAAATTTCTGAAACAACACTGCTAGATGACTTTACAAGAAGAGGATATGATCTTCCTGTACTTCCATCTAGCTCTTCTTGTGCAAGCTGATTGACTGGGGTTATACGGGAACATATCACATCTTCAATCATTACATCAGGACTAGAACAGTGTCTTGTTAAGGTTGGACTCATTGGTATTAAGTACTTTGGAAAATTGTTCCAAATAGGGCTGGAAGCATCTTTCATCCTTATTACTGGCCATACATAAGTTACAGCTGGTATTTCTGTAGCTTGCCTTAGCTCAAAGATATTTTTAGCTCTGGCTGACATTAGTTCCTGCAGTTTAGGTGGGAAAGAAGAAAGAGGTATTGTTGCTATTCTGGCTTGAGGTGGTATCTCTACATCATGTTTTAAAATCTGTGCTCGAGGTTCTTCCATAACCTTAAAAAGTTCAGAGATTCCTGAAACCGATGCTGTGTCTTCTTGGTCAACATGAGTTAGTGAGAGGCATCTTTGCAGAAGGTGATTTTCAACTGAGGCTTCATTACTGTGAGCATGAAGAGCTGTTGAGAAATTCCCTCTCTCAGCAGAGGTCATGCCAGCATTTTCCAGCATGTCAAAACTTCTGGTAGAAAAATCTCCTCCACTCTCCAATTGCTGATACTTTAGCATCAAAGATGTAGTACTTGGCTTCTGTCTTCAGACAAGCATTACGGTTTGACTTAAACTATTTTGTTTAGACAGACAAGCTACTGTGATCAGGCAGTTGCATGTGTCGGCAAGGCTTCCAGAAGAAAGAGTGCAGTAGGAGTTTCAGTAGGTCTCACCTATATTTATCTCTTTCCCAATGGGCTTCATTCAAGCAGCCTGGAACACTTAAAATAAAAGCTGATATAAATTAAAATGTGATTATACACTTGTAAATGCACAGAGTGATTTTTTTTCCCCCAAGTTAACTTTATTTAACTCAGAATAAATAAATTAAAAGACAGTAATATATTTGTGATTTAACATTAACTAAAGCTCATCTAGCCATAAGGATTTTTCTGCAGTAATGATTTGTTGTGAGATACTTCCATTCTTGAATTAAATTGGAGTAAGTTTCTGCTTGCTTCAATAGGAATTTGCCCAACAGTACAAACTGATGATTTTGTGCTATCAGCACAGGATCTATTTTGTTTAGATGTACTACTCCCTCACGTAAGAAGCTGCAAATGTACAAATAAATCAAGCTTAGATACTTATCCAACACATATCAAAACCTGCTAAGCACAAGTTTAATTGTAAAATGCTAAAGAACTAGAAGTACGTAGTTGAATTTACAGTAAAAGGAAAGACAAAATTTAAATTTGTATGATGAGAAAGGCAAAGAATCTGAGATGGATTAAAAACAAATTAATTTTTAATTAAGTGATCCTATTCCAATGGTTATGTTCTCCCAGGAAAAACCTACTTACTTTAGACTTGATTTTATAGAAAGAAAACATAAACACATTACTTGCATGTCAATCACACAACTCTAAGGTGTTTCTTAGCCTCCCTCAATACGCAAAACCACAAATATAAAATAAATATCAAAAACCTGAGTATCAAAACCAAATTTTTGCCTCTGTAACTAAAGAGGTTCTACTATTTAACTTACAAAAAGAAATGTAATATAGATGAGTTCACAAGGCTCTGTTCAGGATCATGTTAATTAACCTTCCCAAGTCCCTTTGACTAGTAAAAATATACAAACTGAAAAATAAAATTAACAGTTTCTCCTCATCTAAGCCATACCTTGCATTTATGATGCATGTATCTAGATGTAATCATGTAATTCCAGGGGTCTAATCAAGAAAAATTAGAAATATTTATATGTATTGTCAACAAATTATTTCAATAATTGCACATATAATATAAGACCTTCTGTAAAAGCAGATTTTTTTTCTGTAAATACAGTTTTTTTCTTTGATTTCTCTCATGAGTGTTTTTCTGTTTGTTTTCCACTTCTGGTTTTAGGGATTCTATCCAGCATTGCCATGTGATAAGGCCAGGACAGGTCTCCTGCCCCAGAAAGTCTGTTACTGGCCTCTGCATTAGCCTTTGCACTCTTTCCATTTGCCATTACTACTGCTCCATTAAATATTCATCTTCTGCTGTGCAGCCAAAGGAATGGTTCCTCCATAGTGATTGCTAAGTAATAAGGAATTTACTATGATCTTTCCAGCAATGGGAGACTTCCCTCAATATCCCTAAACAAAACTAAACCAATCCCAAAGACAATAATTGTTGACATATACCTTAAAAAAACAGAAAGCCTCAGAAACCTAGAAACACAGCAATTAAACTGAAATAAAAAAGGAAAGAAGAAAGGTTTGTGGTTTAGAGGCAGAGTAATCCTGATTAACTGTGAAATCAGCTGAGATAGCTGTGGAAGAGAAACTCTCCTTGATGCTCAGAAGCCTCAGTCTCTACTGTGAAGGCTCTGAACTGATGTAGTGATAGGGCGCATTGCCATGGTCTCAAATTTTCCACTCTCTGTGTGCCATTTAAAGACTTCCTAGCTAGCTGTCACTGCCAACCAAATCTCACCAAAAGGACATAAAGCAAACAAAATTTGCTTTACAAATCTGAACTATTGTGTCACTGTTGCAGGCAAGTTTCTCGAGTTCAGACTGTCAAGGTGGCTCAGAGCAGTGCAAGCTGCCCCGTTCTTCTTGCAGGTACCCAAAACCCTTGTGAATATGAGCACTGTTTGCCAGCAAACACAGGTGAGCATATTTTGCGGCACTACACTGAACAGTGCATTTTTTGCTATGTTCATCATAGAGGTGCCACAGGGGATGACAGGGAATGTAACCTAGATCTCTGCCAAATTTTCACTGTACTGATGGTGCTAACCTTGTGGCCTATGAGCTTGGTATGACTCACCATAACAATTATTTTGACCTATAACCTGCTCCTGGTAGCTTCAGTCCTGGGAACCATGAAGGAGGCAGTGGCAGGTCTAGTGAAATATTTGTTAGTGGCAGCATACTCCCAGCCACTATCTTTCCAGCGCAATTCAGGAGTACTCCAGGACATGTGTATACATATATGCAGCACACACTGCACGTGAATTAAGCCTAGGACTCAGATCCAGGTATGTCTCCATGCACCAATTTTTCAGTCATCTTGGGCATATTTATCTCTTCCACTGCCTTTGGAAGACATTCTGGGTTTTGTTTGGCCAGAAAATCTGGCCATCATTTCCCTGTGGTGTCCCTCAGAATTAAAAAAGCAAAAGCTTAGGTGCCTGACTGTGGTGAATCTAAAATAAGACCACTCTAAGAATCTCATGCATGACTGAGGACTATGTTAATGCACGTATTACATTAATTAATGATGTCTTCAGTCCTAACTCTTTGCCATGCACAGCAACCAGTAGACTGACCTTATCTATCAGCATTGGAAGAATCACAGAGGCTCAACTCCAGCATTTTATTGACTGTAAATATCAAATCACACTAATGAAAGATGTACTGTACCTTACAGTTCTGGCAGTGCACATCCTACTGTGCAGCAGTGAGTGCAGTTGTGTGATTTTGTTAGTCCTTGAGCTTCAGAGATAACCACTTGTGTCATTGATCTCAAGGTCCACAATGCTTTAAAGCAGAACCTCAGACTTAGGAAATAAGCAGCATAGATTGCGTTACTACTTCTAGTTTATTTATACAAACTTTTTGATCTGAAGTGATCTTACAATCTAAATCTTATCATTGTGACCATTGCCCTGGCTTCATCAGAAATGAAGGCAGCAAAGAGTCTTAAGAGAACTTACAAAAATATTAAAATTCAAATATTTTTCCTTATTTTTGAGAGAAATGTGAATATGAACATTGCGACTGTGAATTCATAGAAACATTTATGTTCTAATTAGCTCATCACTTGTAAAACTTTGGCTTGGCATTTTAATTTGGTTATAACAGTGCGTTTTTTTCACATAGCAACAATTCGGGGGAGATTCCAAGGCTATCCCTGAGAAAAGCTGCATTTCCTGAAATACAGGCATGACTGCTGCTAGCGTGGCATAGACTGGTTTTGCCTGGGCTTGATCTAATGTATAGCCAAAGTGCCTTTCAGTTGTTAAGTACCCTTATTTCAACACTAGTTCTACATGGAAGGGTCGCACAAGTCTATAAAGGAAGTGTCTAGGACTTTGTAGTGTATGTTACAAAATACAGGTAATTTAATGACCTGTACATATAAATTTGCTATATGGTTTAATATACATAGTTCCTTCCCTCTTGCAACAGGTGGCCTGCATTTTGGCTATCAAAAATGCTGCAATGTTCAGGAAGAAATCAGTTTGGAGTGCTACTAAAATGGAAAAATATTTTGGTCTTAGTACACTGTTGTAGCAGTTCTTTCAGTTTCTTAAATTGTAGGCAACTGTTTTGGTGAAGTCCTGTTTTCTGAGAAGCGAGCGTTAGTATGCAGGTTAGCACCCTCAAAGGAGCCATGTTTTTCTGATAGCAATCCCTCCTCCAGGAATTGAACGTGAACAGTGTATGTAAATCGTAATGGAAAACACCTTGTGTGTCGAAGTCTGAACTGGTCTTCTGTCCTACCTCCAAAGGCTATGAGGACCCTCATAGTTTTCATATCTCCAATAACCTCGATGCCCCTTCTGTAGCTGAGGTACCTCTCGCTGGCTGTTTAAGCAAGGCGCTGACTCCCGCACAGAAATGTGTATTAAACTTAGCGGCAGACGTGTGTGTGGTGGAGGGGACGGGGGCACCAGACATGCTTTACTTACAGCTCGACGGTGCTAGTGAGTGTTTACAGGAGCTGACAATCACCTCATCAAACGCACCATCCTACTACAACAGCTGTCAACCGCCACGCAGCCCCGCGGGCGCGTGGACGCCAACTGCCACCGGCACCCCGGGCTCTTTGGCGCCAACCGCCGCCCGCAGGCGCTCGAGCTGTGCCCTGCAGGGCTGTACTGCCCCAACAACCTCACTAGCTTTCCCCTCTGCTCACCATCTCTCCCCGCTTTGGGGCCGGGCCTTCCCTGCGGCTTGTACCGTGGCAGAAACGCCGGAGTCCTGGCGCCCAGGTCCATCCTGCCTCCGCAAGGCCGCAGCATACAGGTCCTCCCGGCCCGGGGCTGGCAGCCTCCCTTGCGGCTCACCCGGCTCTCACACGAGGCCCCCACACTGCCTGCGGGTGGGGCTCCCTCCTCCAGCCCTCCCCTACGCGGCCGACTGCATTTCCCCTCAGGCCTAGGGCACTCGCCTCCACCGTTAGAGGCATCATCCTCCAGCCAGGCCCTCACCGGGTGCAGAGGAGAGACATCACTCATCCCAAACCTGCCTCCTGACCTTTCCTCAGTGCCGTTTGCTTCCCATTGCCAGGCAGCGTTCAGCAGACAGAGCAAAAGCACATCACTGCAGCAGAGGTGAGTGCTGAGTCCTCCATACCGGGCACGCCAGGGCTGCACAGGGGCAGACAACAGCCCGCTGCCACCCCAGCCTGTGCCAGCCTTCCTTGCTTTGAAGAAGTGCTCAAGGCCACAAGCACTGCCTGCTCGAACCCTTGGTGAGGGTCTGCTCCCACAAAGGGGCTATGATACATGACAGCCATGTACCAGGGCCTTCCCCACAGGCCAGGCAGGCCTCACTGTGAGGGAACTCCCCCAGCCCAGCAGGGAGAAGTGGGTCTGTGATCTCTGCTGCTCTGCCACACTGGGAACAGTGCCAGGAAGCATGTGAGTAAGCAGCCAGTTTAATCTGGAACGCTTTAATCAGGTATTCACAGAAGCAGAGGATCAGTTAATAGGGTCTCTTATGATCATATAGTCTCACCCTTATACAGCACAAGAGTTTATGCAACGAGTTGTGGACTGGTTTGCTCCCAGTGTGATGGGCTTTGAAATAGCCTACAGTTTCAGAAAGTGCTGGAAATAAGCAAGCTGCTTCACTGTTTCCATCCAGTTAGTAGCTCCTCTTGGAAAACTGCTCAGGGCAGAGTCAGACATTTTGTTTAATGGGTGAAATAAAGCTAGAGAAATATAAACCAGAGTGTCGTGGTTTAAACCCAGTCAGGTAACTCGTTCACTCACTCCCCCCCTTCTTTCCCTCCCCCTGCTCTCGGAGGGACGGAGAGGAGAATCGAAAAGAATGCAACTCCCACGGGTTGAGATAAGAACAGTTTAGTAACTAAGGTATAACACAAATCACTACTGCTACCACCAGTGATAATAATGATAAAGGAAATAACAAGGGAAGAGAATACAACACCTCACCACCAGCCAACCGATAACTCGCCCCCCCCAGCCCAACCAAGCCCTGACCTACACCTCCTCCAACCCCACAGTACCCCAGCCCTTCCGGCTAACTCCCAGTTACCTCCTGGGCATGCCGTGCTGTGGTATGGAATACCTCTTTGGCTAGCTTGGGTCAGGTGTCCTGTCTCTGCTTCCTCCCAGCTTCCCCTCCTCCCTGGCAGAGCATGAGGCTCACAAAGTCCTTGACCAAACCAAAACATCCTTGTTATCAGCTCTGTTCCCAAGCTGAAAGTCAAAACACTGCACTGCACCAGCTACCAAGAAGGAGAAACATGACTGCTACTGCTGAACCGAGGACACCAGAGATATAAAGTGGCTGGTGAGACGGATTATGAAGATAACCACCTGGTGCTCCATGTCTGAAAGTCTAACCACCTTTACTGAATTTTTCCAGCAGTCATTAGGTTAAATTCAACCTGTAACAATGAATTTCCTGGGCTTGTTCACTGGCAGCCAGCTCCTGCCAAGGACTTCTACATTCAGGCAGTGGACATATTTCGTACCTGTCATATGAGGTGAACACCTGCTGCCTCTGGCTGCCCATTTCTGTAAGGCTGCTGATGTTCAGTATTTGTTTTTTTCTTAGTGTCTAAGGATGCCTGAGAGATCAAGGCCGCTTCCAGTCAGGTAATAAAAAGTTAGCCCTTGCCCCAGAGAGCTTATGAAGCAGAATCTTCAGAGAGGGAATAAGGACTTTTTTCCCTGTTCCTGCTGACCTACAGAGTTTTGCTGAAATGACATCCCACTGTGATACAGACAGGAGCAAGGAGCATAAACATGTGGCTCTAGCAAGATGCAACTGCTTTATTGTGGCCAGCCCCAGGAATGACTGTGACCTTCAGCACTGCCTCCAAGGACATTCAACATTAGCCACTTACGTGCTTATCAGCAGATGGGGATGAAAATCAGAGGAAAGGAAGGCATGGGCTGAAAGACAAGGTAAGAACAAAGTGAACTGACAGTTTTGCTTTTCCCTCACATCTCCTCTTTGCCAGCAGCTTTTATGTTTGCGCTCAGAGACAGTGAAAGTAAAGGAGGAGAAACACTCTGGCTGACTGTGATCTGCCTACCTACAGCTTTCAAAAGTAAAAAGAAGTATTTTAGAGAAGATAAGAGCTGTGGTAGAGAAGGATGCAGAGATGTTAACCCTAGGTAGAGATATCTAATTGGGGATCAAAAGCGCAGGTGTTCATCTTATTTACTCATGCGTGTGTGTGTGTAGGAGGGAGGAATGTAATGTGGGGCAAAATTGTCTGTACATAATTCCCTCATGAAAAGAAAGAGTAGCTTGGCCCTTCACTGTACTGGAACTTTTGCTACCTCTCAGCTGCTGCCTATCCCTTTAAGTAGAAATCTGGTACCCTTCCTCTGGCATTGCCTTTTCTTACATCCGGCAAAGCTGAATCCTGTCTTTTAATGCTACTCAAAGCTCAGTTCAGTCAGTCACAAATGAGAAAGGGAGATGTGGCAGGAGGTTGTGTGAAGATATTTGAAAACCATTTTGCTTTAACCCTTGGAAATGCTAGTTGGTGCAATCCTGGCTCATAGATTCTCTTTCCCCAGTCGTAGAACTTGGTACTTATCCTCCTGTAATCATTCATGACCTTGCATCTTTGTCAAAAATTTACTTTAGAAGAAGGAAGAAGCAAAGAAATGTCAAGAGTTTCTCCACTGAGTTCCTATGACTATGGGTTCTTCTGGTAAAAGGGCTGCAAACCAGAAGGCTGTGTTCATTACCTGCTCACAGCTTGGAAGGAGGGGAGAAGGTTTCAATAGCAGCACTCAATCTGCCTTTTTCACATTGATTTTGGAACTTGCTAATGAGTTAGGAAATAGTAGTTCAATGATAGAGCACATCACAGACACCAAGTAGACATTAGACTTAATCTTGATATTTTTTTGTTTGCAGAACTGTTTTCTTTAAATGCCTAGGGAAAATTCCCAATTTCAGTGGGTTCTGGACCAAGTCCTAGCATATCAAGCACTTGCTAACAATACACCTGTGTTTATTCATCCATTTCAGATGCTGATCTGTGACATATAAATGCAATGTACTGCACGCATTTTGAAAAGAGGTGGCCTCCTTCAGCTTGTGATAAATCCTGCCTGGGAATGATGCATAGCCTCAAAGGGGAAACTTGAAAATAGGAAAAGGCAAGCACCCCTCCACAGCCTGTACAGCCCTAGAGTAAGCCCTGACCCCCAGGGTTTACCAGAATAAAAAACACCACACAGATATGATCATGGACCTGCAAGGAATCAGCCAAAGTCTGCACAGGCCCCAGAAAAATACGGGTCTGGTAGCACATTGCAGAGCACAGTACAGACACTGGAGTGCATGAGCTCTGTGGGTGTGACCTCTGCGGGATGCAGGGTGCCCTGCACAGTGCAGTGTCAGCATATCCTTACACACCACAGTTGCCAGGATTTTTCCATCACCCTGAGCACCTGAGCTCCACATTCCCGCTGAGAGCTGACACGTCCCCCCTCTTCTTTGGAAGCTGTAATTTGCAGTGATTGCCAGCAGGTGGCACAAAGGACTTAACGGTCTGCCTCTGCTGCCTACCATAAAACGGACTTCCTAAGATGTCTGTCTAGCTTCTGTTTAGTCCATGTGCCTGGTAGCGCTGTCAAGTGTATACTCTATAATAAAAGGAGGTTCTCCAGATGTCTTATGGCACAGTAGTAATGCTTCTTTACACACATACACACACACACAGGATTACATATGATCAGATTGTGTCTGGGTAATAGAAGATGTAAAGAAAAAGGTATTGAAATGCCAGCTCTTGTGAGAGCAATAGCCTGATACAGGAACTCCTGCTCGTGTCAGAAGGAGTAATCATCAAAAGCTGGATCTTATGCACAGAAAGGGCACCCTTTCAGCAATTAAACAGGGAATAGATAGTGACATGAATAAGGGCTCTTAAATACATTAATACAGCTGTGCATACAACCTAGGAGGGTACCAAGCAAAGCAGAGGCTAAAAAAGCTCTACCTAGTGAACCAGAATTAACTAGATTTCATTGCTTCTATGCATATTCCACAGCTGAACAGATTGATTACACTCAAATATCCTCCTTTTTAAGTGGATCCGCTTATTGCTGTTCTTTGCTGATGCCTGCTCCTCATTGATTTTATCTTGCTACAGTCACTAGGGAGCTAGATGCTTCATGGGCAGCAGCTCTGTAACAAAGATGAGGGAATTAATCTCACACTGGCAGACTCATGGGTCTGTGTATGGCTCTGAACTACTGGGTCACAGGAGTTATCACCAGCTTTTCATAGTAATAAGTTCAGCTTCCTGTGCTTGGGCACAACAGTACCGCATGAGTCAGTAGCATACAAGAGCATGGACTGAGCTAAGGACTGTTGTAACATCCTCTGTAGCCTGGGACACAGCAAGGCTTTGTTCCATCTGCATGATACGATTTCTAATCTTAGGAACAAAGCCAGCCATGCAGAAATGAAGACAAAGACAAGCTGGATCACCAGGGATTGGGAAATGAGAGGGAAGGGCAGCTGAGAATGGACTGAATACTAGTGCTAGTTCTGTGGGGCTGCTGTACCTGCACCCACGGCTTTTATTTAACAGGTCTGAAACCCCCCAGGGCCTGCCTCTGCCATTCGGGGTTATTTCTCACTGAGCTATAGACAACTGCTTTCACATACTTGTGCTTAAATCTTTTACGTCTCACTGGCACCTGAATTAAGAGGCATTTCAGCACTGAATTTACTCTTGCTTTAGCGTCTGGCTCCCAGAAAAGACAGATCACAGTGTACCAGGAAAGGCAATAGTTATTATCAGCCTGTTGTATATAGTGCCAGTGCTGACATCAAGATTATTCTGGCCTCAGGGAGCACAGGAAGGTATGGGATTTTGAAACAGAGCTACAGAAATGAAGATAAAAGTCAACATAAAGCTTTGCTAACTTTCTGCCTTTGTTCCTCCATACTTCCACCCAGCTGAAATATAATGACTATGTGCTAGGCTTGGAAAAACTAAACGAGCAAGAAGAAGGTAAGGTTATGCCCAGTCACAGAGAAGTTGGAGACTCCCCCCTCTGGACTTGTAGAGCTGAGGGGGAGGCAACTGGCACCAGTGTAATGTTTCCTTGGAGCATAATGCCATCTGCTGGGACTTGCTATTAGCAGATGAGGTAGCTCAAATAAACTTGATAAATGAGTCCAGCAGGGCTAGAAATCACACGCTGCCTCATAGCCATGTTAGCAGAGACAGAATGCAATCACATTTTCAGTTAGCAACACTGTATGATTTAATAGAACTGTTTTTAGAGATTTTCATTCCTTACTGCCTAATACATTGCTACGGAGTATGACAGTGTATGTACACCCTACACTACGTTCAGACTGGCTGTTAGTGCTGTAAGCTTTTCCCTTGGAATGAAAAAAACAAAGATGATGTGTCATGACAGGGCAAATGAAACTTTCATGGTGGTGCTGCATGAAATGTAACAGCTTGCCTAACAACATGTTTCCCCAAGGATGAGGAGAAGAAAAATAGAGACCACAGCACGTGCATTCAAGAGTGTTTCTTGAATGCAAAGGCTGCCTGTCATGCAGGGACACAAATGGGCACATGGGTTTGTCATTGCTGATGCTGTCCCAGAACAAGAACACTGACACATTGCATTGGTTCCACCGCACTCCTGTTGTGGGGACAGCAGTACAGGCTCTTCAGAACTGACTGTCTATGTTTGGTGGCGATCTCAGTTTGGTGGTTGAGTTGAGATCATTAGATGATTGGGAGTGCAAGATGCTAGTACCAGTATTGCCCAAGTTCGAATCCTAACCTAATATGTGACTGTCTCAGCAGCCTCTTTCCTGCTTTTGAATGCATGTGTGTTGGCTAGAGACTTAAATTCTGCTTCATGTGTTGAGGTAGCAGGTATCTTTGCAAGTACACATTTGAGTCCTACTTCTCTCTTCAGTACCTGCTGGCTTGAAACTATAATTGACATGCTGAGATAAATCTTTTTTTTATCAGTGGTCTTTTGGGAAGGAATTGTCTTGCTATGAATAACTATGTGATACGTTCTTTTTCCTAGTTTGGAACATCCTTTCACATTGGTGTGCCGTGTGAGATTCACTGAGACCAGTGGTAGCCTAAGCGACGCTGAGAGCCTCAGAGGCATTAACTTGACTGTGAGAGAGTGACTGAATAGTCTAATATGCTCTGCAAAGGTTTCAGTCTCTTTCAAAAACAGGTCTTTGAATCCTATTCCTGCCACGGGGTGCCTACCATATTGAGATACACATAACATTTACAGGCAGTATATGCTAGAAAATACTTGTTTCAGTCCTGTAATGGATGCATTGACTGTGAAGATGATAGTTCTTTTAAAAGAAACTCAGGATGACTCTGCATCTTTCTTGTTTTGAAATATCTTTGTACCCTGCAAATCTCACGGGAAGCATATGCTTTAGTGACTTGTCATGCTGAATGCCTCAGGTTGATTAGATTTGTTGTTTCAGGATGGCTAATGGGTTGCTTGATGACAGCCTCATTGAGGTTGAAATCATTAAGAAAGAAAATACTCCTATAGCATCTTGTCTGGTGGACCATCTACATTTCTGTGGCATGATTACAGCGTCTCTATAGGTATGTGTTTGAATACCTCTACCCTCAGAAATGTTAAATTGAGAGACTTGCTGAATTTATTTATGGAGATCTGATGTTGAACTGATCCAAAATACTGTTTATGCCATAACAGTATTCAGTGTAATAATATTATTGGAGACATGACTACATCTGGCTCATGAGTGAAAAGTTAATATACTTCAGTTAAAGTGAGTTTTTTGCCCTGGAGCATTTATTCCCCAAGAATGCTGATAGCTACCATACACCTTGCTTCTGACTAGACAAATGTTTTGAGTATGTTAAGACACTGACAGAGCAGTTTGTTTGTTTAGAATA